CTCAGAGGTAACAGCTAGCCAAGCTAGCAACGTAGGACAGTTTCATGGAGGATGTGACTGATCGTATCTAAATTCATTTTTTCAAGTTGCCAAAATGTATTAATTCTTACCGAAAATGGGCTGATGAGAGTTAGCATTGGCATCCACTAATTAATCGATTGCATATATCATCATCAAGACTTTTGCAGCACTTGGCTAACAAATTAAATACTGATGTATTAGGCTGGCTGTGGCCCTAGCTAGCCAGCTAGCTAATTTGATGTGTTCTCTTCTCCTCTTGTTAGTGATTTAAACCTATCCTTTTTAGACAACTAAGCACGATGATTGATGGCGATGGGGAAGTTTGGTCAAATGTAGGAGAGAAAGACAGCCGATCCAGAAGCAATAATTTGGAGGAGTCCATTACATTTGAATAATTAAGCAAATGCATAGGTAACGCTTATAGTTAAACTGTTTAGAAACTATCTAGATTCAATCAGCAAGTCTAGTGGATCGATGATGACCTTGATGGATCTCACAAAGAGCTTGAGCTTATGTTGATTTTGATTATGAAGCGCGTGTGTTGACACCGGTCGTAAAAATACTGACTGATGTGTCATGTGTGTGTTTTGGTGATGTATTTGTTACTTATTAGTGACGTAAGAACCAAGAAAAGGTACAAAGTCTCTATAATTAAGGTTGAGTACCGATCGATATCGAATGTCAGGTCTTAACTTGTTTGCCTCTAGCACTTGTTTGGCAGACTTGGGCATCACACGTGTGCTTCTCCGATGGCTCTATGTATTGACTAATAGTAGTACCATTCAAATTGCTATTTATCTAGTTCTTCATGGCCGCATCTATGTATTGATTAATAGTAGTATTTTTTTTTTTTTTTTGACAAAAGATAATCATGTATTGATAAGAAAGAATAGTTACATCCTGGAAAGCAGCCAGGCCTGAAAATTAAAGCCACGATTCATGATCGGGTACAAAGAGAGGGCTTTCCTAGCCACAAGATGGCTACCCTATTACTACTCCGACCTACAAATCGCACCGTCAATCCCGGGTGGGTCCGAAAATACTGCAATACTTCCTCCAAAACAGCACCCACTCGACTGTCTCTGGCGTCCCGTTGATTGAGTTTGTCAATAATCACCTTAGCATCCCCTTCGAAAACCACATTGGACAAGTTATGCGCTAGACACCACAGAATCGCCTCCCTAAGGACCAGAAGCTCCACCGTCAGAGGATCCTCCACATACGGGAGCTGGACCCCTTTCACCTGAATGACCTCCCTAGTCGGGGATAACAGAACAACTCCACCAGCAGCATGTGACCCTGGCCGAATCGCCCCATCCCACATACAAACCACCGTCCCTGTCTCACCGATCCCACCACCTCCCCTCACTGCGACCGAGCGCTGGATACCATTGTTAGCCGGCAGGCGCACCCACTCCTCATATTGTTGATGAAATTGACGCAATAACGCGGGGATCCCAAACTGTTTGCCTTCAAAGACCACCCAGTTACGGGAACGCCAAATCCGCCACAAGAAAGCCACCACCGCCATGAAGAGCTATTGCTGGTGGATCAAGTTCATCAACTTCTTAAGAAACATAGGAAACGTTTGCCGGACCAATCCCTCCCCAACATATTCCAGGCCCGAATAAACCCATAAGTCCCGCGCCACTGGGCAATCAAGAAACAAATGCTCCATCGTTTCCGAACTATCCCAGCACACCGGACACCGAGGGAGCACAGGCAGTCGCTTGCTAATAAGGGCCTCGGTCGTAGGCAAGATTCGATTAAGGATCTGCCAGACAAAGACTTTAAGCTTCGGGGGTATATTCGCATTCCACAACCGCATCCAACTTGCTCTATCCATCCAGCTAACCGTAGCCTTCCTACCATCCCTCCGTTTATCCAAAGCAACTGCCAAATGGTAGGCTGATTTGACGGAGAAGACCCCATCCACCGTATCATGCCAAATTAATTTATCCTCCACCGGCTGACGAGGAAGAGGAATCGCTTTAATAGCCCTACAGGTGGGCGGATCAAACCACTGACTTAGTTTACTGTCATCCCACCGCCCCCCCGGCACATCACCTCCGCTACAGGTGGATCACCAACCTCCGGAATGATCATTGGGTTAAAAGCCGGGGGATCAAGTTGGAGTTGCAGGATCCAATTTGAATTAAGCAACGAGGCAGTTCTCCCATCGCCAATTTGCCATCTCAACCCCTTCTCTAGCAATTGCCTCCCAAACAAAATACTCTGCCATCCCCAAGAGGGTCGAGAACGAGGTGCAGCTTTCAAGAACGTTCCATTCGGGAAATACTTCCCTTTATAAACCTGGGCGAGGAGGGATCCCGGCTCCGAAAGGATACGCCAACCAATCTTGGCTAGAAGCGCCTGATTAAACTCTTCAAACCGCCGGAAACCCATTCCTCCATCATGTTTACTTCTGCACATATTACGCCAAGACATCCACCGGATCCTAGGCTGACCTTCTACAGCACCCCACCAGAATCGCGCCACATGTTTGTCCAACAGCCGGCAAAGGGAGATAGGCAACTTAAAACACGACATAACGTGGAGGGGTAATGCCAGGGCAATTGATTTGATAAGAGTTTCTTTAGCGGCCCATGACAACGTCCGCTGTTTCCATCCCTTCAGGCGTTCAAGTAGTTTATCCTCCAGGAACCGGAATGTCGCAGTTTTAGACCTAGCAATCAGCGTCGGCAGCCCCAAATATTTATCATGTACCCCGACAGCTCCGACCCCCAATACAGCTGCCAGAAATTCCTGATCCTCCCGCACCACATTCTTGCTGAAACACACAGCCGATTTGGCCAAGTTAATCTTCTGGCCACTCAATTCCTCATATTCATTCAGGACCTCTAGGAGATTCTCGCATTCTTGAAGGGTTCCTCTAAGAAATAAGTAGGAATCATCAGCGAAAAACAAATGCGAGATCCTTGGAGCCCGAGGGGCCACCTTCACACCCTCCAGTCTCTTCTCCTCAATCGCTTTCCGGAGCAGGGCCGAAAATCCTTCCGTACAAATAACAAAGAGGAGAGGGGAGAGCGGATCGCCCTGGCGCAATCCTCTCGAAGGGGAGAAAAAACCCGACGGAGACCCATTCATAAGGACCGAGAACGAAGCCGATTTTAGGCACTCATAAATCCAACCCTTCCAAACAGAGTTAAAGCCCATCTTATCTAAGACCGCAAGAAGAAAAGGCCATTCGACCCTATCATAGGCCTTTTCCATGTCAACCTTTAAGGCCATGTACCCTTTCTTGCCGCGTGTCTTAATTTTCAGGTAATGCATTAACTCATGACCCAAGAGGATATTGTCCACAATCAGACGCTCTCGTATAAAGGCATTCTGGCCATCCGATATAATTTGAGGGAGGATCCCAGCCAGTCGTTCCGCCATGATCTTAGTGATTACTTTATAGACAAACTGGCATAGACTGATCGGACGCAACTGTCTCATATTTTCCACATTCTCCACCTTTGGGATCAACGTAAGCCAGGTATGGTTGAAACTGCGCAGCATCCGACTTGTAGCAAAGAAGGAGCACACCGCATCAATAACCGAAGGCCCCACAATATCCCAAAAGGCCTTATAAAACTTTCCAGTGAACCCGTCAGAACCGGGAGCCTGCTTGGACCCCATCTGAAACACCATTTTCCTCACCTCTTCCGGGAGCACCTCTGCAGTCAGGGTGGCGTTCATTTCAGGAGTAACGCTCCGGGCAATGGGGAGAGTCTCCACTCGATCAGTCATATTATCCACATGGTTCTCAGAAGTAAAGAGATGCTGATAAAAAGACGTCGCCACACCAGCCTTTCCTGGTTCATCAGTGACCCAAGTTCCCGCATCATTTCGGAGTCCCTCCACAAAATTCTTTTTACGGCGGGTCCTAGTCACAGTGTGAAAATACGACGTATTCTTATCCCCCTTCTTTAACCAGTGGACCCTGGATTTTTGTTGCCAGTACAGCTCCTCTGCCTCCCATTGCCGGCTCAATTCTATTTCTAATACTCGCACCGCCTCCCAATCAATTGGATGGGAGCTTTTAATTCTTTCAATTTCGCCCTGCAGTGTATTAATATTCCGTAAGGAGTTGGTCATCCCAGCTCTACTCCAGTCATATAACAAATGACGAAGCCTCTTGAGACGGTCCCAAAGACGGAACATGGGAGTCCCCTGAACATCCTCTTTCCATACATAATTTACCATTGCCCTCACCTCCGGGTTATCCGCCCAGCGAGCATCAAACCGAAACAGAGGACGACAATTTCTGGCATAGGCTTTATCGGAGAGGAGAATAGCCCGATGATCTGACCCTTGATCCGTAAAGTGCTTGACCAGGGTCTCCGGGAATCGATCCATCCAGGATTGGGAGCAAAGGGCCCTATCCAGACGCTCCCGGATACAGGCTGAACCCATCCTTTTGTTAGTCCATGTGAATTGATCCCCAAGGAACCCAGGATCATGGAGCCCCAGATCCTGAATCATATCCCGAAGGCTGGTAGCCTGAGTAGCATTCCAAGGTTTTCCACCATCCTTCTCTCCCTCATGAAGCGTTGTATTGAAATCCCCCATAATCACAAAGGGCAGGTGGAAAGTAGAACAAAGCTCTTGGAGGTAAGCCAATTGGGAGGCTCTGACCGAACTATTACAACTAATGTAGGCAAACACCACAATATAAGAGAACTCATTTTCATTAATTCTGGAACAAATACAAAAGTTCGAATGATAAAACACCGAAGCATCAACTCCGGGGGACCAAGCAACAACTAAACCTCCCGATGCATCAATCGCATCAACAAAAAAACAGTTTTGAAGAGAAAAACCCAAACCCCTCATACGACGAGAGACAACACGCCGGCTCGATCGTGTCTCCGAGAAGAACACAAGGTCCGGTTTATTCGAACGAATTAAACCTACTGCAGTTTGGAATGTGAGGGATGGTCCAATGCCTCTCACATTCCAGGCCAATAGCTTCATTTATTAGACTGGGGCCATTTTAGGCTGGCTTCCTCCACCTGTTCCAGATTGTCATCAACTTCAATAAACTGTTTCTTTGGCGAGGGAGCATCTCCCATCTCTCCCTCAACAGTCTCCAGCGGGCGCTTACGCGTCCCAAGCTCTTGGTTCACCAAGTTTGACCCATATTCGTCTAAAACAGCACTCTCGCCCGGAACTTCAAATTTCTCTTCCAACTCTTCCTGCACACTCAGAGAAGCCCCTGAATTAATTATCAGACCTGCTTCAAACGCGGCCACCACTTGACTAACCCGCCCTGGTGCAGGAGCATCCAAAACATTAGACTTGGATGAAGGACCCCTTCGTTTGATCTCAAAGCATTGATGGTCTTCCTCCGAATCTGAATTTTCGGAAACCAAAGCTTTAATCAATTCAGCCTTGGGCGCCAGCCCATGGGGCTGCCCCTCTGCTCCGCCCAACTCCATAGGCCCAACTTGGTCAGCTTTCAGCCCATTTGGGCCACCCTTCCGTGACCCACCGCGCCCACCCTCCCCCTTGGCCTTCCTCGAATTGCTTTTCTTGGGGGGACGGGCCTGATGCTGCTTCTGGCCCACACGGCCTTTCTTGGCCGACCCCTTACCAGGAGTGGGCTTTTCCCCTGCCACTGGCCCATCGCCCTGCCCCGTAACCTGCTCCCCTACTGGCCCAATCACACCACTGGTCCAGTTATCTTGGAGAGGGGCCTTAGAACCAGACCCCTGAACCCCCGCCGGCCCTAAGTCTGTAACCGGTGGAGGCTTGTCAATCGTCAAAGCATCATCGTCGGAATCGGATTCCAGGATAAGGCGACGCCGACGAGTGGCGGCAATGATTCCCGTCGAGTCATCGATCAGCTCCAACGGGTCTTCGCAAGAGACACCAAGACCCCTGCGTTCATCCCCTTCACCATCCCGTCCGCCAGTTTCAGATTTATTCCCGAGTTGGCCGAGTTTTCTAGAGTTTCTTCCTCGGGCGAGCTGAAGCCGTGGTGGTTTCGTGACAGGAAACCCTCGAGGACTCGTCGATTTGCTTGGATGGGCTCTCAGTCCCTGATCCTGAGTCGATTTATTATTATGGATTGTGCCTCCCATCGCATCATTCCGAGGAGCAACCTCCGGTTTCTTCACTACCACGGGCTTCATTTCATCCCGACCACCAACGTAGGTTCGTCCATTGTGGGTAGGGCCATTAATTTGGCGGTTGACCCACACCGTCTGTCTCTGGCCCCTACTCCTCATAGTATCAGTCTCCTCATCGTAGATTTTTCTCCCCAGTTTCCGAGTCGACATGTGAGGGCCAAACCGCTCCTTTCCCTTAGGCGGATCGAACGAGCATTCACGTCGAGCGTGACCCACCCGACCACAATGGTAGCAAAAACTAGGGAGAAACTCATATTTCAGGTTCACCCAAAAACAGTCAACCTCGTCGCTAGGAGCCCATAATTGGGACCGGAGTGGTTTGGCGAAGTCGATAACCGCACGAACTTTGATAAAACGTTCCCCCGTCTCCTTGCAAGCAAAAACATCCGAATCCAGGACTTGACCAATGGCAGCTGCCACCATCTTCCGCCCAAATAATTTAGTACAGCATTCTTCATTGACACCCCAGAGTTGGATGCGGAATGGAGCTAAGGATAGCTCCTCGAACATCTTTCTAGGGATCGACGGAGCCCAGCTTCGGAGAGTGAGAATCTTGTCAGTAATAACCCACGGGGAACGTTGCAGCGCCCAACTAGTTGCCTCCATATTTGGTAGCGTGATTTCAAACAGGCCATGGCTTGTCGTAGCAACCTTCACGCGTCCCTTGATCTGCCAGGCATCGACCAGAGCATCACGCACTTCCAGCGTCGATAGCGGGGCAGAAGTGAACAATCGGCCGATCAGCGTGCGGGCCGCACGGAGCTTGGTCGATTGAACCTCATCCAATGAGAACTGGATCACCTGGTCATCGGACATTCGGACCATTGTTCGAGCCTGACAAGGAAAAACAATTAATAGTAGTATCATTCAGATTGCTATTCATCTAATTCTTCATGACCGCATTAAACATATTTCATAATCCATGTATATCGTGGTATAAGAAAAGGAAAAAGGTATTACCCATATAAACCGAGAAAGATTTCTTTATACAAGAAAGACATCCAACAACGTTGCAATGTTTGTTAGTTCCCCTTTCTTTAAGGAACAAGTTAAGAGTGGAATCTCTGCGTGGTCCTTTTGCTCAAGTATAGGGTGTAAAGCGGAAAAAAAGACCGACCAAAAAGAAACTTTTGCACAAGTAAAATGTTATTGGGGAAGCACCTAACCACAATGTAAAATTAACACCACTTAATTAAGTCTTCATAAGCTTCCCACCAAAAAAAAAAGTCTTCATTAGCTAATGGGAATGGGTTAGGGTGATTACTTATTTTTTAGTAATCACGGTGGCAACCTCTTTATATACCATTTGATTAATTATTTTCCCTTCTTTTTTAATCTTACGGTCAAGATTCTTTTAGGATAATTTTGGAAATTAAAAAGTGACCACACCTGATTATTCTATATAATCTACCAAACCCTAGTTCTATCCTCCCTCCAGTCAAACCCGTCGCAGCCGCCTCCACGTACCACTCCCGTCGCACCGCCGACAGCAGCCTGGGCCACCCTAGGCCACCGCAGCGGCCTCCCTCCCCTCTGTGCAGGTACCCTCTCTCTCTCTCCCGCTGCTCTCTTTCTTTCTCTCTACCATCACAACATACATACCAAAGATATGATTTTGGCAGACAGTAGCAGCCATATACAACCATAATAGACATAAAAACCTAGATCTAGTAATTTTTGGTTTATTGATTCAATGTGCAGTGGTATTGATTGTTTATGGTATAGATTGTTTATATTGGTAGTTTTCGTGTAATGATATAGATTTATTTCTGTAATGGTATTGATTGTTTATGGTATAGATTGTTTATATTGGTAGTTTTCATGTAATGGTATAGATTTATTTCTGCAATGGTATTGATTGTTTATGGTATAGATTGTTTATATTGGTAGTTTTCGTGTAATGGTATAGATTTATTTCTGCAATGGTAGTTTTCATGTAATGGTATATATTTATTTCTGCAATGGTATTGATGTTTTTCAAAGTGGTAGTGTTTGTCTAATGGATTGGTACTGATTTCGTGTTTTTTGTTTTTTTTTTTTTTTTTGCAGAAAGATTGAGAAAAATATAGAAAGGAAATCTGGCTGGAGATTACGGAAGTGAGAGAAAGAGAGAATTTTAATTAATAGATTTTTGTAACTACCTAAAATGTAATTTATTAAAAGATTAATTAATATCATTTATTTTTCCATGCGCAATTTATCCTTAGTAACCACGGTGATTACTACTTTTGTAGTAATCACCGTAACCTGTCCCTAAGCTAATGATGATAAAAATCCTAGCCAGCCAGATATGGTCATCCATCCCTTTTCCTCTAGTTCGAATCTTACTTGCCTTTGTTTATATGCAGGGTCGTCCCATCGATATCGGAGGCCCTGTTTCATAAATAAGATCGTGACTCGTTATTTGAATATTGAATAAAATTAATTTTTAATTATTCAATTCAAAATTATATTATAAAACATAAACTTTCGTGTTGTCGGAGTTGAATTGATTCATAGAATGTTTGAAGTCTAATTTTACAATTATTCATTCACAAACTGTTCTAAAAAAACTATAAATTTTATTGTAATGGGAGCTAAATTGAGACACTTGATGTTCAAAAACTAAAACGATCAAAATATCGAAGTTGAGAGACTAAACTAATATTTTAGTCAAGTTAAATTAAATAAATGAGCATTCATATAATGTGAGTTAAAGGGAGAAACTTGAAATTTAAGAATCAGAAAAGTTCAAATTTAGGCAAGTTAAATTAAATAAATGAGCATTCATATAATGTGAGTTAAAGGGACAAACTTGAAATTTAAGAATCAGAAAAGATCAAAATATTAAAGTGGTGGACTAAACATACATGTTAGTCAAGCTTAGTTAAATAAATAGATGTGTAAAAAATGGGAAAACAAATAAGTGAGGATTGATGAAACCATGACCGAATATGCATATTAATTATCTAACATGTTTACCAATAGATAAAGGCAAACTGATATTTTATCTATATGCTACGCCTACAAGTTATATCGATTAAATTGTAAAATTCTCGGAAACTCGTGGTCTTTCGTCCCTGTAAAATAATAATAGAGGCACTGTGTTGTAGTGCAAGCCGACACATGCTAATGGACGGCCCTGCTTATATTCAATAGAAATTTTTGTCTACTTAACAGTTGGAAGACAACAAAGACCATCTAGCTTTTGAAATGTTACGAACATTGTGAAAAAGAATAGGATGGGATGCTAACCCCGTAATGTGTTAGCACGGTGCTAACCTAGATGATCACCATTCTTTTGCTATAGGAGGGATCTAACGGGTACAGATAGGTAAGGGCTAGTTGGGATTTTTTTTGGGTGTGGGTAGTGTTTGAAATTTTCGGCGTGAGGTTTGCGATCCAAACGCTGATAATTGGGAAGGCGGACATTTTGGGGGCTTTGAACGAGTTTGCCGCTACTGGGATGTTACCAAAAAGTGTTAATCACACTTTTTTGGTTTTGATTCCCAAAAAAGAAGCAGTTGGAGATGTCAAGGATTTATGACCTATCAGTTTAGTGTCCCGCCTTTACAAGATTCTCTCGAAGGTTCTCATGGAAAGATTGAGAACATACATGGGAGGCTTGGTTACAGAAGAACAATGTGCATTTGTGGGAGGTCGTCAAATACTTGATGCAGTTTTAATTGCCAATGAATTGATTGATTCGAGGAAAAGGGCCAGAAAGCCTGAATTGGTCTTCAAGCTTGATATCGAGAAGACATACGATCATGTCAACTGGAATTGTCTCTTATTGGTCCTTAAGAGTATGGGCTTCCCCGCTACTTGGCTATCTTGGATCAAAAGTTGTATTTCATCGACATCTTTTTTTGTATTGGTGAACGGAGCAGCTTTAGGGTTCTTTCCGAGTGAGAGAGGCCTCAGGCAGGGTGATTCCCTGTCCCCCTTTCTGTTTATCTTGGTGATGGAGGTTTTATCTGGCATCTTGAAAACTCTTCGAGCTCATGGTTTAGTTGAGGGGTTCTTTATGAATGAGGAATTAAAGATTGGAGAGGTCTCTCACATCTTTTATGCTGATGATACCTTACTTTTCTGTGATGCATCCGAGGAGCAGGTGCGTTTACTCCTTGCGGCTTTGGCACTCTTTGAAACCATCTCAGGACTTTGGGTAAATTTGCATAAGAGTTCTATGATGGTAGTGGGGGAGGTGGATAATCCAGAGCATTTGGCGAATATTTTTGGTTGCAAATTGGAAACTCTCTCGGCTACTTATCTAGGACTCCCCCTGGGTTCTAAAGCCGCGTCCTTGGCAGTATGGGAACCAGTTATTGATAAAGTGCTGAAGCATCTAGCTACTTGGAAGGCAAGGATGTTGTCTTTTGGAGGCAGGTTGGTGTTATTAAAGAGTGTTTTGGCAAATCTTCCTATCTACTTCCTGTCTCTTTTTAGGGCCCCTCTTTCGGTCATTGCTAGGTTGGAAAAAATTCAAAATGACTTTCTATGGTCAGGAGTCTTTGAGGTGAAACGTCTTCATTTGGTGAGATGGAAAATTGTCAAAACTCCAATGAGTAAGGGGGGTTTGGGAGTCTTGGATCTTAAGAGTGTGAATCGAGCTTTGCTTGGGAAATGGGCTTGGAGGTATGGAGTGGAAAGAAATGCTTGGTGGAGGAAGTTGATGGTTGTGAAATGTGGACTTGGTGTGTCGGATTGGAGACCAAACTAGAATTTGGGTAATCATGGATGTTCCTTGTGGAGGGCGATTGTCGACGAAAGCTCTTATTTTTGGGAGGTGGCCTATGTCGATCCTGGGGGGGGGGGGGGAATGGGGGTTATTTTTTGGCACGATGTTTGGATACCGGGGAAACACCTTGCGAGAGAGTTCCCAAGGGTTGCGGCTGCTACCCAATCCTTGGATGTTTTTGTTTCTGATTTGATTTCTTTGGATGACAGGTCTTTATTGGAGATACCCCTTTCGATCTCCCTTCGTCGGGGCGCTGAAGCGGAGCATGCCCGTTTGAGGCAACTGTTGTCTTCGCTCTCACCAGAATGGATCTCGATCGGCCCTGCTCATCTTGTTTGGCCTTTGGAGTCCTCCTCGATTTTCTCTGTGCACTCCTTCACATCTAACCTCATCGATACTACCTTTGCGGGGTGACGTTTCCTTCCCCTTCAAGCTTGTTTGGATCTCGCATGTGCCTTCGAAGATATGTTGCTTCCTTTGGATGGCCTATTTAGCAAAGATCTCTACTATTGATAACTTAAGAAAAAGAGGCATGATCATCACAAATTGGTGTTCTCTTTGCAAGTGCCAAGAAGAGACGATTTGTCATCTCATGTTCACTTGTTCATTTTCAAAAGACGTTTGGGCAAGATTCACATCATCTCTTCAGCTACATGGCCCTCTCCCATCAACGATACCATCATTTCTTTCGGCTTGGAGAGGA